TTCCTCTTCTCGCACTTGGCAAACGACAGAAAATCGTGAACGATTGTTCGATAAAAATGTCGAACGATGATCGTTCCACTGAATCGCAACCCCTATTTCCCCTGGAACGAAATGCTTTCGTAGAGAGACACGAAACGAAAGAGGCAGACTTGGATTCGAAATTGCGGTACCGCTCGGCAGGTAACGCGCCTTTCGCCGTTCAGTCCGCGCCGAATGACGTTCGTATACTGTCCTGGCTCGGTGCGTTCGGCGGAGCCGGCCTCGTATGATGACCCCCTTCTAGAATTCTACGGCCCTGTCGACGTACGCCACAGTCTCTGGACACCGACGTAACACCAGGAAACACGGGTAACCGTCGATCCTGTTGGATTCGTTCACATCTAAAATTTCGCCGACTGAAACTCCTCCTTTGCGGTAAATAATAAAATTCTTGCTTTGCTCCGGATAAAGCTCCGGCATGAAACGTGTATCCGTGTAACGTATAACCTGAAATAATTTATTAAATTTTAAGTAACTTTTCAATGATAGATAGTAGATAGTTTCGCGTTTTTTTGATTTAATATGAAGGTTTTACCTTTTTTTTTTTAGATAGCTTCTCTTTTTCTTATATCTGAATATATATTATACATAAGTATGTATTAAAGAAAATGGAATGAAATATTTAAGAGAAAATGATTATGATTATTAATTATGATTATTTGTCATACAAGAAAGAGAAAAAATAGAAGTAAAATATTTTGGCTCATTAATTACGATTAGAAGGTAATTACAGTAAAATAATTTTGGAGGATGAAATAACGAATAAAAATTGCAACGTGAAAATTTTTTTTAACGAAATAGCTTTGTTTTAGAACAGTGAATAAAATTAGTTTTGTAATTGATTTTCCTCTTAATTTTAGTTACGTATTTTTTTAAATCTATGAATGAAATCGGTTTTTTAATGGGATTTATCGAAAAATATTCAAAGAAATAATGTGGTTGTAGATTAAATCGATTCACCGGAAACTTTAAAAACATTTTATCCCATTAAAACTATTAAATTACTTAATGTTTTTTTTTAACTCCTTCCAATGAAACTTTTATACAAATTTAAATTTTGCTTATATCTACTTGAACATTTAATGGGATAATATTCGTTTTTCGTTTAAAAATTTTATACTTCATTCATTATAAACAAATTTTAATGTACCTTAATACTTTATTCACAACGCAACGTCCCGCGACCAACAACAATATCGATAAAACTGATTTATCACTTTACGAACCTGTTCAAAATATCGATCATACAACCATTCTTCTATTACGCGAACAAACTACGAATATCTACGAATATCGATCAATTTTCCATTTTAAACGATGATTCTGTCCGCTACTAACCAAAAAGGTAAAAACTCGATGATGTTACCGGTTACCGGTCAGTGCTTACATTTCAATAGTAGATGAAACGGGTCATCGATCGTTCAAATGACCCAAAACCATCCGTAATTACGAAGTCGTATTCAACGATCTTTCAAACACTCGATTTCCTCTTGTATCACAACGATAGATCCGTATCCCTTCTAATCTCTACTCTACAATGTGATACTTCCTATTTCTTCTCTCGTCCTCTCTCTACTTCCTACTATCTTTTTTTATTCAAGTAGTCAGAAGTCACAATCATGGATCCTTCCTAACCTCTCTTACCTTCTTTTCTCTTCTCTTCTCTCTCCTTCTTATCTTATTATTTTTCCTTTTTTATTTTTATTTTTTTTTCTTTTATTTAAGCAGTCAGATAGTCAGTACGATATTCAACGGGAAGAAGCTTGGGAAAAATTCATGTAGCTCGCACAGACACGTCCGGAATTCGATTCTAGAACGTATTGCTCCTTCCAACTTTACGGTACTCCCGCAGTATTGCCTGTAGACACGAAAAAGTGCGGTTGCAGCGGCTGCATCCGTAGGGAGGAGAGCCAACATACTAAGAAACAGAAAGAGAAAGAGAAGGAGGGGATGTGTACGAGAGAGGTAATGGCAAAACTGAGTGAGCACACCCATCTTTCTTACCTTCCATTTTTCTCACCGAACGAAAGGATCCGGTGTAATTCTAGCGCGCACGTTGAAAATTAATGTGGTTCTGTGGACTGGTACGCGCGGAATTCGATCCGGCAACGACCCGCTTCTTCACCTTTACGGTACTCGCGATATCCTGGGCTACACCGGCATGGAAATATGCAGTGAACCGCGCCCGTTTCACCGTGGCCGTTTCGCGACCGTCCATTGCTCTCGTTCAGTGGCCTGGGCTCATCCGTGTTAACGTTCAAACGAAACGGTGCTGTTCGAGTAAGCGTAAACGTTCTTTCGAACGCGCTTCCTCTTTTCCTATGCGCGTTACCGGCTGCGCTGGAAAAAAGAATCGAAAAACGTTTTAAGATTTTTCGTAAGAGATTCGATTTTATATTTAACTTGAACGCGAAGGGAAAGAAGAAGAAATTCTAAAGCAAGCCAGCGAAGATTTAGTGGTTCTATTCTAAATTCACGAGCTTGAACTCTTACGGTTTTATGTAACCTACCGAAAAATATGTAACACCTGCAGAGAGAGCGGTAAATATAAAGCTGGAACGAGAGCGCTTTGAAGCTCGTTGGAATTAAAAAGGCGCTCTTGTGTATTTAGACGTTTTTTTTTTTGTCGTGTCAAAGCATGGTAATATTGAAATGCATGGAGGAACCGGTCTACTTTAATAAAAAAAAAAAAAAAGTAAAAGAAGGAGACTGTCGTTTGTGATCAAACGATATCTAAATGGAAATTTAAAATTTAATTATCGTTTTTTGTTTTATTACAGTGATCTAATTATTGAATTAATATTGGTTAGAATTTTTAATATTTTATATTTTCTTTTAAAGGATAAAATTTAAAAAATAAATATAGTTTTTAATATATTAACAATAAAATATTTTAACTACAAGAAAAAGAGAATTTATTTTAGTTAAATTTTTAACTTATTTTTACTTTTTATTTTTACTTTAATTTATTTAAAAATAATGGTAATACTGATTGATTTTAAAAAAATTGAAAAAATTGAATCTTTGTAAGATCAATATATTAATAATATCTAAGAATTATGTTTGAGATAATTAAATATTACTAAGGGTTAAATGCTTCATCAGGGTTGGTAGCAATAAATAAATTGCTATTTATGACATGACCTACGTGTTTAGTCATAATTTAAATAATCAAGAATAATTTTTCATTTAAAAGATAATATCGTGAAATTATAATTAGAAAAATAGTTCTAATTCTTTGCATAACTAGATATAATTCTTCGTTCAATAATCTATTGATAGAAGCTATTTTCATACAAAACACCTGAATATCAATATTAATTTATAAAATCTTACCGTAACGGAAACTTTTAGCTGTTTACATAAATTATAAACCATAAACTTCCATGAAACTTATCCATAATCAATGTTCGATCAACCGGTAAGTTTACGTTGCATCTTGTACATCAAATTTATTTTATAATGTTCCAAAAGGAAGTGTAAGCTGTATACAGATAAATTTTATTAATTTAGAGAAGTAGGAGTGTACAAAGAAGAAAAGAAAAAAAGATTTAAGAAAGAAAAGGAGAGACATAAAGTTGTACGCTATTCCAACATTCCTAGGTAGCCCCAAGGCGTTAAACGGAGTACCGTCATTGCAAGGAAAGGCCTACTGACCGACATTCCCCTTTCCATTCTTCCTGATACTCCTTCGTCCGGATCTTGCCACGATACTAGCGTGTACATGGCGACGACCTGTAGTGAGTATCGTAACCGGAACCTCTGGAACCTTCGCCCTGAATTTCCGAGATAGCCATTCTCTCGAACATGAGTTCAAATTTTTCATTTGTTGCTAACAAATTTTAAGAAAACTATAATTGATATTGATAATATTAATAACTCTCGAATTTTCTTTATTTGTTATCGATATCCTATTTCCTTTTATTTTTTAATTTAAACAATTCCAAAAGCATATATAATGTTCCAAATAAATTTTTAATATACATATGTTTTTCTTTTTTCACACTTCTTTTGTGTTTTGATATTTAATAATAGAAACTCGATATAATAAAAAAATAAATAATTAAATATTCAAATTTTTGTTAAAAGTAAAAAAATAACTTTCTTCTATTCGAATATGAAATTATTCGCATAAATTATTTTAGGATATGTATTATAATGCTAATATATATTAGGATTGTATTATTGTACCATATATGTCAAATTGATGTCAAGAATGAAAATTAAATAATTACAATAACATTTATATATTAATTAAATTGATAAGGATTATTTTACATTATTGAAAAAATATCTCATATTATTTGAATTATAAAATAGATTGATTTATATACTTAGTAAATCTTTGATTGGAACATAGTTATTTCTTAGAAAACTTGTATACAGTTATAATGTTATGCGTCTTTTACGATGCATCCATAAAAGTCAAGAGAATGGAGACCTAGATTTTCATTAGCATCTTGTGAAACTCGAATAATGTAATTTTAATAAACGATCGCTATTCTTAATGCTGCGCTTCGATTCATTATTTCTACAAAAGAGTGATATAGCAAAATCGCATTACACAATAATGTAACGCATATATGTCGCAATAAATATATGGTTTCCACTAAATCCAAGAAAAATTTATAAATGCTTTATATTGTACATATATATGTTGTACCAATACGAAAAACTTTCAGTAAGAACTTACCTTATATATAGATAATAAATTCTCTATAGTTTTCAATATAAATACTATTATCTTAATAAACTGTATAATTATATGGAGGAATACTTTGGAAAATAACATAGAATTTAATATTGTTAGATTCATGGAACTATGAAAGTTTTCTTATGAAACATCATCTATTATGGCACATGTTTCATATTCTAACATGGTATATTAGTTATATTCTCCTCATTGGGTACACAGTGAGAAGTTACTGCAGTACAAAAGATCAACATAAGGAAACGGAATCAAATTCGTTTCGTTTTCTGTTGATTATTTTAACAATAAGCTCCAAGTTATCATCGGATCCATGCATCTTTTGTAAAGCGATCGATAAACAATTCCAATTTTCTGATATCATCCTACAAATAAATGTAATTATATATATAATAGCGATAACAGTAATCGTTACTCGACCATACAACAAAATTTTATAATATTCTATCCAGTGTTACTTTTTATACTTTTACATAACGTATAAATAATGTTAATATATTAATGTTAATAAAATGTTAATATATTCGTGTGAGAGATCGATTTAAGCAGTTAAGATACACATAAGTAATATATAAATATCAATTAAACTTATTTATTAACAATTTAAATTAGATAAAATAAGACGGGAATAAAGTGTAATTTCATTCTAATTCTGTTTCATTTCATTTTCGTTTAACATAAACTTCAATCGTTTAACTTAATAAATAAGTTTTAATCAATATTTTTATATACCAATTCTTTTCAATATTTTTTTCCTCTAGAATTGGTCTCTAAAATTAATTTTTCAAAAATGTCGCACGAATATATTAACATCTTACATATATAAGTTAAGAAAGTATATATGTGTATATGTCTGTATATGTATGTATATGCATATCCCTAGAGAACATATATCAATTATCCATCTTATCAACATGACGCCAGAAGCCTTGTCATTATCGGCATGCCGAAAGGGACAAATTTGCACGAACGTATATAGTGTGTTATATTGCATCGTAGTTTCATGAATTACAATGAACTAATGACATCTGTATGCGTTTAGGACATTACATACAGTACACGTGTTTCAAGTGTTTCGAATATTCCAGTAAAGCTATAATGATTCAAGTTAGGATGTATTAATGATGGATATCGTCCAAATATCCATGAAATTGAACATCAAATCGATATAATTCATATTGAGATGAGATTGTAATTAGATTGAAAATATTCATAAGTAAAACAATAATGAATTTAGATTAAATTCATTGGATAATGAGATAAATTCGTTGCAGCAAGTAATTATAATCAATGTTATAACGTAATATAATATTCATACGAAATTATTTATAAATTTCAATTTGATTGTTTTATTTATAACAATATTTTTTATATTTCTTTTTTTTTAAACAAATATCTCTTTTTTGTAAGCACAATAAAAATACGATAATATATCAAAAAATTGTTAAAATTATTAGATTTATATTTTTGAAATTATAGATAATTAATGCAATAATATAGAATAAAGTTAAAAAAATCTTAATTGGATTATTCTACATCTTTAATTTTCATATATATCATAATCATTATCGATTATCACAGATCAATTTAGTTTACTGTTTATTCATATTATTATGTATCTATTTCTTTTTTTAAAAAAACAATTAATTAATATTTTAATATAACAATTAATAACAATTAATTAATATTTTAATATAACTATACAAAAACAATACATAGCAAATTACATATAAATGAAAATTTAATTTTGACATGTAAAAGGTTATAATATTTGAAATAAAATTAATAAAAAAAATAGAATTTTTAATAATTTATAATATGTTCTTATAATAATTATTAATTGTTAATAAAAATTGAAATTAAAATTTTACTGTTCAATAGCTTACTTTACGAATCGTATATTGTTTTCTTTCGTAATGAAATATTTGAACACGATCATTTTGAATTTAATCACAAACTTAAATACGATGATATTCATCGCTTTTTTATATTATATATTATTATAATATTTAATATTTTATATATTTTTTTTAATAATTTATAATTTATAATAAATATAATGGTATAATAAAAATTAATTTAACTTTATTTATTATTCTATTTTGTTTTATTTAATAAATAATATATTAAATTATAAGTAAAATTTTTATATAGTCACCTGTAAAGTTTCGAAGTTGGTATCGTTTTCCAAATAAAATAACATATTAAGAATTATTATATCTTTAAATTATTTCTTTTCTATTTTAAATTTCTGAAATTTTCTTTTGAAAACATAAATTTATAAATAAATACTAATACTTAAATATAAATTTAAATATATCAAATTGTAATAAAGTTTATATTACTATTCTAAAATTTCTTCGTTAACATATAGAAACGCCTCTTAATCTTTTAATAATTTTAAAAATAAAATTAAGATGATATATTATGAAATTATATAAATTATTAGACATTATTACAATATAAGTCAACAATATTTAATTCAAAATCAATATAGAAAATTAAATGATCTTAAAATAAAAAGAAAATATTACATAGAAATACTATAATTACGATGTATAAAATTTTAGTACTTATATAATTTATTCTAAATTTAATAATTTATTAAATTTAAATACTTACAAAAAACATTTATTATCACATATAATTTCAATATTATCACAAAAATAATTTTCATTTAATTCTTTAATATAATGCAATCTTGATAGATATTAAAATTTATATACGAGTTGCGCAAAGCAATTATGCATTAACTGCCAGTGCGCACATGCTTCCACGTAAGTGACAGGTACTGACCAACATAACCTATTCAACGTTCTTACAATCAAATATTAATTTCTTCATAATTTTTAAAATATAATTGCAAAAATTTAAATAAAAGGTGTCATAAAAATGGTATCTGTTTTGAATACGGTTGATACCGGTCATGAAGACATGATTCATGATGCCGAAATGGATTATTATGGTTTGAGGTTAGCAACTTGTTCCAGTGATAATTCAATTAAAATTTTTGACTTAAAAAATGGAACGCAAAGTTTAGTGGCTGATCTTAAAGGTCATGTTGGACCTGTATGGCAGGTTACTTGGGCACATCCTAAATTCGGAAATCTTTTAGCGTCCTGTAGTTATGATCGGTATGTTATAGTTTATTGAAATTTTTTAATAATTTAGAACAAAATAATTTATTTCGATGTATAATAATTTGTAAATTAATAAAAAAAATTATTAAATCTTTAAATTATTTTTATATATTATTCTTTGTAATAGAAAAGTAATTATTTGGAAAGAATTAGGAGAATGGACCAAGATTTATGAGCACAATGGTCATGATTCCTCTGTTAATTCAGTAGCTTGGGCACCACATGAATTTGGCTTAATTTTAGCTTGTGGCAGCTCTGATGGTTCAGTATCTATACTTATTAATAATGGTGATACATGGGATACACAAAAAATTACAAATGCTCATTCGATTGGATGTAATGCTGTGAGTTGGTGTCCTGCTATTGAACCTAGTTTTGATGCTAGTGGAACACAAAGAAATGGACCAATAAAAAGATTAGCTACAGGAGGTTGTGATAATTTGGTAAAAATTTGGAAAGAAGAAGGTGATAGGTGGATTGAAGAAGACAAATTAGAAGCACATAGTGATTGGGTAATACATCTGCTATTATCTTTTAAATTTAGAAATCTAAATTAAAAAAAAATAGTAATTAAATATTTTGTTTCTTACAGGTAAGGGATGTTGCATGGGCTCCTGCAGTTGGACCATCCAAAGCAGCTTTGGCATCTTGTTCACAAGATCGTCGTGTAATTGTATGGACTTCTAATGATTATACTAGTTGGACACCAACTATCCTCAATGTTTTTGATGATGTCATTTGGAATGTTAGTTGGTCATTAACTGGAGGTATTTTAGCAGTTAGTGGTGGAGATAATAAAGTATCCCTTTGGCGTGAAAATACTGAAGGACAATGGATTTGTATTTCTGAGACAAATAAAGGTCAAGGAAACCTTAATAACACAGATCAGCGTGCATTATAATATCTGAAAATAAAATGTAAGATAACATTTTTTATTAATAAGTATTGTAAATTAAAACAATTAATATTAATATCAATTTTATTCCTCTTCTTTGTATTCTTATTATATTTATCTTATTATACATAAAGAAATATAATTTTCAGACCAAATTGAATTCCAGAATTTTACATCTATAATGAAGAAATACTATATTGTACATTTTTTTAACAATGCATCATAAACGATGTATAAGTTATAAAAATATACATATTATATATCTGTTGATCAAGTAAAAAATAATTTGCATATTTATATATATAAATAAATTATTGTACATAGAATTCATTAAACGATTAATTTTGAGTATACAAGGATGCAGCAAAAACAATATCTCTTTTAATAACAGTAGAAGCTTCTTCCATTTTTTCCTTTAAAACAGGATCACCTATAGTAGTAGCTGCATTTTTTACATCTCGTAACGTTTCACTTAATTGTTGAATACATCGTACTATGATTCCTTCTTGTACATCCGTTTTTTCCATAATTTCGGCAAATGATTTCGCTTGTGCCCAATCATAAACTACCTCTACTAAACCAAAGTTTAGTGGTTGTAATGTTACTAATTGATAATGTTGTTCTAAAGCTTCTAATTCAGCATGTATTTCTTTTATTTCTTCACAACTCTGCAAATAATATTTAAACATTATAATAAATATATAATTTGAAATAATTAAAACATTTTTAAAAAATTTGTGCTAAGAAAATATACCCTCTTTAATTCTGGTGTTAAATTTGGTTCAATATCAGTTCGTTGTTGAAATATTAAAGCAGATAACAATGCTGCTATTTCAGCTGGTTGAAGTACAGTTAATACATTTTTAAGAATGAGCTCTGTAATTAATAATTCGTTATTTCCCATTTGTAAAGCTACTCGACCTTTCAATGCAACTATAAAACAGAATAAAAAATTATTTTAGATTATTAAATATTAATAATTTTTATTTTATAGAAAATCATACCTCTTTCATCATTATCTATATATCCTAAATCTTTAAGAAGTGCAACAGCATTTGTATATTCAGGATACAAACTTAATCCTTCATCACTAAGTTTTAATTGTAATTTATTTTTTTTGCTTTCCAATTCACTTCGTTCATATACAATTTCAAATTGTTCTTCAAAATTCAATATTTCTCTACATTTCATATCATATACAGCTTTTTTTAAATCGAATAAATGTTGTAATTTCCTATCAACATCATAATTCATTTTCATCTCCAGATATGGTTTTAATATAGAAGAATTATGAGAAGCATTAAGAGATAGAGTCATTAATTCTTGCATTGCTGTTTTATAAGTTTGACTAGGTTCTTCATTTCTATATTAAAATTAAATTATTTTTAGACTATTTTTAAACTATAAACATTTTAAATGCAATTCAAGTCTTTACTACTTACTTAAATCTAGGTATTTGTCTTTTTTCCCAATTTGCCAAAACCAAATTATAATCTATTTTAATTTGACAATTTGTTATTTCTAATATATTCCATGCATCTATAGTCAATACTTCATCTGATGGAATTCCAACTGGTATAAATATTTCTTTTTTTGTTAAAGCAACAATATCGTACCATTTATCGGATTTATTAATTTTCTGATTTTTTTCTTCTATTTCTTTGATAGACTTTGATATATCAGAATTTTTAAGAACTAATACTCTGTATTGTCTATTACCTTTATTTTGAACCGTGCCTAATAATAAAGCTAATTTATTATAATGACTTTCATATGATATAAGCAATATTCTTCCGGGTGTTAAACTTTTTACTGCTTTTTTTTGTGTCTCGTAAAAATAAGGTTTCAAATACTTAAGATACTCTAAATAATCAACAGCTACTCGATAAAAATCGGAAAGTTTCTTTTGTAAATCGGTTAGAGGTGGCAATTTTGATAATTCATTTTCCACTTCTTGTAATTGCATTTTATAATTATTTTGATTTATAACTACTGGTGATTCTTTAAAAGATCTTCGCATCATTGCTTCGACTGTCACCGATTCATTTAGCCTTCTTAGATTTAATACCATAGAATATGTTACTTTAAATTTCGATTCTAAATTTTGAGCTTGTCCACACATCATATTTTTTAATTCATTAAAATGTGGCACAGATGTTCGACACATAACTATAACCATCCCAGTTGTATCATGACCTCTACGACCAGCTCGACCAGCCATTTGTACATATTCAGAAGGATAAAGTATTCGGAAATTATTACCGTCATATTTTTTTATAGAATCGAAAACTACAGTACGCGCTGGCATATTAACACCCATTGCAAATGTTTCTGTTGCAAACAATAACTGCAATAAAATAAAATCTTTTTAAATTTAAATAATTAATATAAATGTTATAAAATTGAATAAAAAAAAAAGATATATATTAAAAAACTGACTTTTACAACTCCAGTTTGGAAAAGCATTTCCACTATTTCTTTTAAAATAGGTAATATACCACTATGATGGATACCAATTCCACTTTCTAATAATTCTTGCATCATAAGCACTTGTGGTAATTGTCTATCAGTACCTTTTAAATGCCGAATATTATTTTGAAAAAAAGCTCGAATAGTGTGTTTTTCAGTTTCAGTTGTGAGATCAACATTTCTTAATAATACAGCACTCATGTCGCATCGTTTTCGTGATAACATAAAAACAACGACAGGCAACATGTTCTAAAACACAAATATAACAGCTATATGTTTAAATAAATAATGATAATTTAATCAAAATATTTATATAATAGTTGTACTTGTGTTTTTAAATGACTTATGAAAGCACTCCATAATACTTGTTCTTGTTTCGGAGTCATTTGTTGATGCATAGATATCTTTTTAACATCTTTAATATTTTTATTTACTTGATTTTTCGAATTTTTAGAATTTGTTGCTTTATACCATCTAAAATTATATTTATAAATATTATTATAAAATATACATATAAAAAGTTAAAAAAAAAATTAAAGATTACCCATCTAATAAAAATTGACCACTTTCACCCAATACTAAAAATTTATCATCTTTAGTTTTACCATCAGTTCCAGTATATAAATAATGTTGAAGGGGTACAGGTCGTTTTAGAGTGCTTATTACATATGTCTTTTTTTTTTTTGTACGACCAACCCAATCAGCAAATACTAGAGGATTTGGCACAGTTGCAGACAACATTACTATAGTAACTGTTTGTGGTAGAAGTATCACACTTTCTTCCCAAACATGACCACGCTAAAAATAATATAAAATATATCATATAAATTATTTTTAATATAAAATTAGCAAAAATGTAGTATTAAATTCTATTTACTTCATCATTATTAATGTAATGCACTTCGTCAAATATAACAAATTCTAAATCCCTTAAAACTTCGGATGCGCAATATAACATAGATTGTAAAATTTCCGTGGTTATGATAAGACATGATGCATTTGGATTAATTTGTAAATCTCCTGTTAATAATCCTACGCTTTCGAATTTTCTTTTAAGTTCGCGATATTTTTGATTTGAAAGTGCTTTTATAGGAGACGTGTAAATGACTCTAAAAAAAATAAAATTAATACTATTAATTTACATTATAATTATGATTTGAAATATAATTCAATAAATGTAAATCTTTACTTTGTCATATGTTTTTGACTTAATGCTATAGCATACTCTGCTACAGTTGTTTTTCCAGCAGATGTATGTGCAGCAACAAACACATTACAACCTTCTTCTAATTTAAGAATAGCTTGTTTTTGGAAAATATCTAATTCATATGGAAAACTCATTGCTAATTCAGGAATTCGTTTTTCAAAATCAGTAAGTGGAACAGATACATCTAATTGTTCTGCCCATTCTGTTATAGTTTCCACACGTTTTTCCGAAATATTTAAAATAGGTATATTTGTTTCTTCTAATAATGAAGTAATTTCATCAAATGCTGATTCTGAAATATCTGAAGTTTTGGTTTTTGTTTCTTCCTTTACTTTTTTTGTTTCTAATTTCCAAAAATCAAGTTCATTTTGTTCTTCTTCTACAATAGCCATTAAATTGATCTTGTCTGCTGTACTTTCAATTTCATTTCTTTCTGATTCCAATGATTCTTGTTCCTGTATTGTTTTTTCTTTTGGAGTATAATTATCACTTTTAAATTCTATACCCGCACTAAATCCTTTTGCTAATGTTCTTAAATTATTTTCAAAATCAATTTCCTCTATTAATGAGTCCACTATCATCTCAGGTTCATCAAAACCACCCGGCCAAAATGGAATATTACTAGTATTTCCTAAACAAAGTTTTAATATTTCTCAATTTATTTTAATATTAATTTTAAAAAATAATTATATTCTATGATCTAAATTATATAAAACATTTTGTCAAATACCTCTAATAATATCAGAAGGTGGACCTGGTGCACGTGTCATAGACATAGAATTTCTAGCAGTTTCACCTGCTGATTTCAAAGGTACCTCATGCATTTCTCCAAGTTTGCCAGTAACAGGATCTCTATTAAATTTTAATGTGGTACCAAGTGGTGCTATATCACAATTCAAAAGAGAAAGAATATCAGGTTTTCTTGGCCAATAACATTGTGCATTATCCAAATGATATATTGGAAGATTATCCAAACATTCTATATATTCCCTTAATTCAGTTCTAATATCGGGCCAAATAGGTGGCAATTCAAATTCTAACTGTGAAATAAACAATTGTTGAAATAAATTGTTATTATAAATTTCTTCATAATTAAATTAAAAAATTTTACCATTTGTTTATTTGTATCGTTCTTTACATCCATTTTTTTTAATTTTTATATTTACACCACATTAATGAAACAATCTATTTCATTAATTCTTTGCACTTATTTGCAATATATTGCACTTTATTAAAAGGAATAATACTAGAAAAAAAATTTTAATTTAATAATTAACCTAAAACACATAATATATGATACTTATAATAAAATATGAGATATAAAAAATAAATTGTAATAAATACTGTTTATTAATACCAAAAAATTATTAAAAAAAGTATTTTTTTTTTTATCTATTTTAATTTCAATTATGAAATAACAAATTATATTACATTATTACATTAGCATACAATTTATTTTTAGTACATTTTAAAAATTAAAAAATTATAAATTATTTATAATTTTAGTAATAAATATAAATAATATCGAGGTTATGTTTACAAGCATATTTATACTATAAAATAGATATAAATATATGCAATATATTTCTTATTTTATATCATAGGGATTTTATTTGTAAAGATAGTAAAATATATACATTGATCTGTTTATTCATTTTATATCCAGATTATAGTATTTTTAATATTATTTTCAATATTATTTATTTAAATAAAATTACAATTTTAGGTGAGAATTGATAATTAAATTTATGAATAGATAAGATAAATAAATTTTAAGCAATAAAAAGAAAAGTTATTTATGTGTTTTTATATTTATTTGATATTTTTATATTTCAAATTTTGTAACTTTATTAGGGAAAAAATTTTACTATTGGCTATACATTTGAAAACTTAACGTTCTTGTATTACATTTCTATATACATTATTTCTATATTTAAAGTATAATAATAAATATGAAACGAAAAACGAATAATGTTATAAAGGAAATATTTTATAATGTTCAATTTAATAAAACTTGTCATCAAAGTAATATTAAAAAATTGACAAAATGTTATGAAGAGGTAAATTTATAAGTTTTAAATAAAATTTTTAAACAATTCATTATGATATTTATTTATATTATAAACAAAATTTCAATATAATTATTTTGATGTTAAATTGTTAATTATTTTTTTTTTATTTTAGAATAATATATCAGATTTTTGGGATTCTTTCATATCTTGCTTTAGAATTCCACTTACTATTCCACAACGACATTTACGAGTTGAAAATACTTTAGAATTTATTGCTAAATTTGCCGCTAGTTTATATTCATCTACAAATGATGATGAATCTGAACAATCTTTATGTCCTTTTCTCATTAAGTTATTTGATTTTGTTTTAACAAATCATTGTGCAAAAAATCCAGGAGTGAGATTTCGTATTTGTCATTTTTTAAATATGTTATTAAACTCTATGGGTGATCAAGCTTTTATAGATGATGTTCTTTGTGATAAAATTACTGTTTCTATGATGGATCGCTTATTGGATAAATCTACAAAAGTTAGAGCTCAAGCAATATTTGCTCTACATAGACTTCAAGATCCTACAGATGACCAATGTCCTGTTATAAAAATGTATATATTTCATGCAACCAAAGATCCAAAAGCTATGGTTCGCAGAGCAGCATTAATGAGTATGGCAAAAAATCAACGTACTTTGCAAGTAGCATTGAGAAGGACTAGAGATGTGGATGAAATTGTTCGTAAAATGGCATATGATTTCATTAGTAAAGTAACAGTCAGATCTTTGACTATCACACAGAGAGATCAGTTGCTAAATGATGGTTTAAAAGATAGATCTGAAATAGTTAAAAATACTGTTCAAAATGTTTTATTACCTGCATGGTTAAGACATTATAATGGTGACTTTATTGGTTTAATAAGAGCTCTTGATGCTGAAATTGGTACAGATGTGTCTGTTTTAGCTTTAGATATTTTATTTAAGTAAGCATTTAATATACATATTATGTATGAAATATATACAATCATATATATATATATATATATTAATTTATTTTAATATTATATATTAAAATAATATTGATATTAATATCTATATCAGATATATAACATTAGAATGAAAGTATGTAAATAATTAATTTTTTATATAATATTTAATCTTTTTTTAATTAGGAATACTCCATTAAATACATTAATAGAACAATTACCAATAGATAAAGAAATCAAATTAATTCCAATAAATAAATTGACTAGTGAAACTGTATTATATTGGAAATGCTTAATAAAGCATTTGCAACATGAATCTTTTACTGAAGAATTAGAAGGAATTTTACCAGAATTATCAATATTTTGCAACTATATTTCTGATTTCCTTACAACAATATCATTAAAAGAAAATGAAATGTGGGTAAATCATATGCAGAAATTTATTCTATTACAATTATTTGAAATATCAACAACATATGATTTATGTGATGAAGTTGGTAGAAAAAAATTGAATGAATTAATTTGTAATACATTAATGAGCAATAATTGGACAGAAAAATTAATTGAATGCATAGTAACACACCTACAAAAAATTATACCTGACGTGAATAGCAGATTGGATACTTTAGCTAATATAATCAGTGAAATTAGATTACCTTTAAAAGAAACTACAACTACACAAGTTTCAGAAGAACAACAACATCAAATTAACTTACAAGTAAGTTTATATTCTTTAAAATATTTAAATACATTATACATACAAAATATTAAAAAAAAAAATATAACAATTATACTATTTAATAAAAGTATTTTTTAGAGAGCAAAGCTTAAGATAAAGATGTTGGAATTGAAAGAAGAAGAATATCAAGCTATACAAGACAAACAATATTTGAAAGCAGATAGCTTAAAAAATGAAATAATCTCATTGACTAAGGAAATAGAAAAATTATCAGAACAAAATCAAGTAACAACTATAGTTAATGAAGAAATGAAGGAAAAAAGTGATTCTAAAACAATGATAAAATGTTTAACTATAATATGTACAATGATGCAATCTGTAACTACAATAACACCAACACTTAGAAGTCTTATGCAAATAGCACTTGACAGTTTAGACGTAAATATCTCTAATTTAAAATATAAATTTCAATTTAATTTTAAATATGTTCATTTAAGAATAATATTTCAGCATCCAGATGATGCAGTACATATATTAGCAATAAAAGCAGTCTCTATTTGTTGTATATTGGATAAAGAATTAGCTAAACAACATATTATGATGTTATTTTTACAATTTTCTTTGGAACAAGAAAATCCAGATATTTGGATTGTTGCTTTGAAAGGAATTTTCGATCTCTTACTGTTGCATGGTCTTGAATATTTTGATATTTCAGAAAAAACAAATGAGATCTCACTTGATAAAACTGAAAAGTCTCGCACTAAATTATTTACAGATACTGATAAAGAAGTTTCTGTAATATCATTAGGCATGTCAGAAGCAGAAAAAGGCAATTACTGTTTTATTAAAATCTTAGCAGGATTATTAGATAATGAAGTATGTATATGTACACACATATATATATATATAATTAATATTCTTATTAATTTTAAAAAAAATAACAAATATTTTTAAAAACAGAATCAAGGATTAAGGACAATTGCCGCTGAAGGTCTTTGTAAGTTGTTACTTAATCGACGAATCAGTGGTTCAAGTTTATTATCACGATTAATAATTTTATGTTATAATCCTGTAAATGATAATGATTTTTATCTCCGACAATGTTTGACGGGTTTTTTCGATAATTTTATCACACTCGTTGATGCCCAAACATCATTAGAAGAAACATATTTACCAACCTTACAGATTTTATGTAATGCACCAGAGATTAGTCCTTTACATGAAATTGATCCTTATGAAGTATCTAGGTTTATAATAAATTTGACTAGAGTTGGAATTCGTAAATCTGATGTAGAAAATTATTGTGTGCACAATAATCTTGTTTTTAATATGCTCGCAGAAGTGTTAAATCCATCCAGCAAAATTCATTGTGAAGTTCTTCTTAGATCTTTAAGCGATTTGCATTTAGAATTAGATGATACATTGGAAAAAAATTTACAACAAGCTATTAAAAAAGTAACGAAAATGGTAAATATTGCATTTATAACTTACTAATAATGATATTTTAAAGTATATATAAACTTGTTTGTATTTTTTTTTTAGGTAAAACAGGATAAGCGATTATTAAAATATATTGAACTTTTTAAAAAAAAATTAAATACTCCTAATACTTGTAATGTATCAGAGAATGAAGATACTGAAGTTGATGAATGATCAATTATTCAGAATATCTCATTTAACTCTATCACTTTTAAGTATTTATGCAAGTACAAAAAAATATTTGAAAAGAAAGTTATCATGTTTCATATACTAATTATTTCTTATTATATAATCAAAAATATGACAAAATAAGACATAATTAAAGACATTGTAAATATATACAAATTTTTTGACAAAGATTGCGATTATTTTATTTACATTTCATTTTTCTTAAATTCTATTGTTTCAATCATTAACTTTTCAATCATCTATAAAATTTTAATTCAATTATGTTAAAGTTATGATATAATAATTATTGCATGTGTTTTGACTTCACATTTATGATAAATAAAAACATTGGTCATTCCATTAAAAAAAAAAAAAAATGTTCGCAAAATCTCGAAAAATATGATCTTGAGATGATTTATATTACTTGATGTAGATCTACATTAATATTTTCTCTGAAGAATAACTTTCTCCTCGGATATCTTTTTTTAATTAATTAAGAGTGATAGAATTAAATGAAATTTGTACATTATATTATTTTATTTTGTTATTCGTTAAGTACAAGAGTGAAGCATTTATATATAAATAATTTATATATATAAATAATGAAAACATTTAAGTCAACAATTTTATATATTATATTATATTTAAATATGCCTATAAATTTATTAAATCCGTTTTTTAATCAAAGTATAATTTTTGCAAAGAATTTTAATTTCCCGGCATATCACTTTTAAATATTTTATTATTAGATGATAAACTAAAAAAGTTTGTAGATATTAAATGTAGAAATATAAAATAAATTTATTTACAATGAATTTTTATGTGTTATATTTTCGTAATTCATATACTTATGAATCTTATCGATTCAGAATAACATAATAGCGTCATAATCGAGAAATATAAAAAAAACTTATTTAAAAATACTCAAGAGATGGCATTAATTTTCAATTTTTATTCTGTCTTATTTTGGTTTTTATTTGTAATATTTTTGATATTTAAAAAATAATGCTGACAATTTTTATTCTTTTCTTACTATTTTTTCCTATATATATTTTTTATATATATTTTATCTATAATACTATAGAAATGACATTGATTTCATTGAATTTAAGTAAAACTTGTTTATAATATTTAATTGTTGCACCATCTTTTGAGAAAATATTAGAATTTTTCATATTACAATATCGACAATAAAATGAATTATTTAAACCGTGACTACGATGTCTCATAAGATGTAAAATCTATATTATATTTTATCTATGCTTTAAAAGAGCTAATCAATCTTCCGAATTTTAACTCTAAAAATCTATTTTATCATATAATTAATTTTGAAAGTATGGAGAAATTTGAAAAGCCACAGATAATTTGTCATATTGAAAAATCTGTAAATTATTCATTATTTGACGCAAAATGGATTCCGTGTAGTACGAAGTTTGTAGTTATGGGTTCGCGTCCTCGTGGTAGTGGTATTATACAAATTTATGAAGTTTCTAGTGGTGAATTGAATCTTATTAAAGATATTGAAAGATCACAACCAATAAAATGTGGAACTTTTAAAGCATCTAGTTTAAGAGACAGATATTTAGCAACTGGTGATTTCCAGGTATTCATTTATGATATCTTTCATAAAAAATGTAATATATAAGCAATATATATATATATATATATATATTCCATTATAATTCCATTCGAAAAAATGAAGTTACATAAATAAGATTAATAATTCATTATTCCTACATACAGAAAACTTAAAGTTACCTTTATTAGGGTAAATTGAATATCTACAATCTAGAAGATCCCTCAATACCAATTTATACTGTCTGTGCTCACAAAGAAATTATAAACAGTATTGATGGTGTAGCTGGACAGAGTATTGGATGTGGTGCACCAGAAATAGTAACTGGTTCCAGAGATGGAGGAGTTAAAGTCTGGGATCCTAGGTTGAAAGGTCGGCCAGTTGCTGTAATGGAACCTAAAGAAGGTGAAACTCGTAGAGATTGCTGGGCAGTTACATTCGGAAATTCCTATAATTCTGAAGAAAGAATAGTAGCTGCAGGATATGATAATGGAGATATAAAAATGTTTGATTTAAAAGCAATGGCACTTTTATGGGAAAGTAATCTCAAAAATGGAGTTTGCAGTATTGAATTTGATAGAAAAGATATTCCAATGAATAAGTTAGTAGCTACTACATTAGAATCAAAGTTTTACTTATTTGATTTAAAGACTCAACATCCTAAAAAAGGATTTTCTTATCTAACTGAAAAGGTAAGATTAAAGTATAATATTTATGTGATTTATGTAATTATATTGTATATTACATTATATATTATATGTATGTATATAAATAATTATATATATTGTTTTAGGCTCATAATTCAACGGTATGGTTGGTCAGACATTTACCACAAAATCGTGAAATATTTGTTACTTGTGGTGGAGGAGGAAATCTTTGCCTATGGAAATAGTAATTATAAATTTCATATTTATTTTTATCTTTAATTTTTATAGTTTTTTCATTGTTGAATTGTTTTAGTAACTATCCGGAAAAACGAAAAATAGTAGATAAAGATGGTATAGATCAAGGAGTTGTTGGCAATTTGACCCTTTTACAAAATATTACAGTTTCATCACAACCTGTTAGTTCTTTAGATTGGAGTCCAGACAAACAAGGATTAGCTGTTTGTACTGCATTTGATCAGTGTTTAAGGGTGATTATCACTACGAAACTTAATACTTTTTAAGAAGATAAATAGAATAAATTCATTTTAAAATTTAATAAAAAAAAGATATTATTTATTTATTTTCATTATATACATTTATATTATTACATGCTATTTATATTATTGAATGTAAATCTTTCATATTATGTTGAAACAAAAATTCCATTGTAAATAAATATTAATTTAATTTAATTTAAAATGAATTGTTTGCTGACTAAATTATCGACTGTTTGAAATATGTTACAAACTTTTATCACGATGGCGACACTTGTTTGTACCTATTGATTTTATCGCAGTCGGCTTAGTATATGTATATTGCGCAATTTTACAATTCGAACGGTCAGATAAAAGCGCATTATATGTTATTGGGCCAATCTATTTAGGATCAAACCCTTATTAAATGGCAGCCATCTTGTAATACAATGTGTTATGCAACATCAAACCGCCATATTGAAGATCGAGACCCACGCCAAGTGCACTTATGCCACATTGTTTGAACCAGCCTCTGCCAGTTCGCATTCAGCCGTACAAGGTCAGGAATCCCGCGAGTTTAATTACATAAATTAGCTCTTGGCTGTTCCCCCTTTTGCGACGACGTGTCACCATTATACATTTTTTTTGTCTCTCCCTCTTATATTCACTGAAGCTGCACGCGTTCTAATTGGATCACATATTTAGTCTTGGCTCCGTGTTCTCCAAAATGGCGTCTTTTTATACGAACAGCAATAAAACGAAATTAAATGAATTTTTCTTCATTATCGAATAATTTTTTAATTATTTCATAAATTTATTGGAAATTTTTTATTATTAAGCAAATTAATTTGAATTCTAATTTTTATTTTTATATTATTATTATGAAAGATTTCTATTATAAATTAATCCAAATATAATTATTTTTTGTGTTTTCTAAAAATTTAATAAATAATTAGCCATTATTTTAATTAATAAAATAATTAATAGCCATTATCTTAATTAAAAAATTTTTCAATTCCCATAATTTTTATTATATATATGAAAAATGGAAATAAATAGAAATTTCACAAATAAATGATTATTTTTTATATGAAAAAATATTTTTATTATATAGTATAATTAATTTTTATTAATTAAAAAAATAGTTTATTTATATATCTAAGAATCCCAATGGCAGTGATAATATTTAATAAAATATTCATGAACTAAAAAATGTAAAATGATTAACCAATTAGCAAACATTCTTCTTACATAAATATACTGTTCTAAATCAAATACACATACAATACATTTTTATGCACGCATATCAATCATTAATATTTTTTCGATCAGTTTAATTATCTTTATCTTATATTCATATATTAAAATAATTCCTCATGAAAAAAGAATATATTTAAAATACATATTTTCTAAGTTATAATTGTTGTAACATAATTATAACAAATGTAACATAGTTAGAACGCTAACTTTTTCATGAGTAAGTACATATGTTGGTCTATCTCGAAACCGTGTAGGTTGTTTGCATCACCCTGTAACCTCATCAGCAATCCTCCAAAGGATACGTAGGCAGATCTGCAACAGAGGAAAAAACAGTAAATGTAAGTCATCACTTAATATGAATCAAATTAACAATATGGACATATTTATTTAAAATATTAAATTTTCATCTGACTTTAATTTCCTAATCACCGGGGGAATATTGATATAATTTCGGGGGAAGGGGGGAATATATATATATTATTTTATGTAATAGATAATTCAAGATAAATTTGAAAAATCATTTAAAATAAAATAGTTAACTAACTTTCAATTTTATATACTAATTTAATAATTACAAAGTATTGATTTATCTGTGTTACTCGATGATCGATATTTAAAACCTTTTTAATTATGGTCGCGGACCCTACGATCGTCATAATTGCAGTGCCGATAGCGGTCGTATATACAATGTAGCCACACAACCAGCTAACAACACTGCCAACATGCCAATCGCAAAAAAAATTCTTCCAAGGAATCCATCCCTTTCGTCAAGCAATCCCTCCACATGCTGCTCCACGGTGAATTCGATGAATAGAAATACAGCTTCTTTCTGGTGCTAGATTTATAAACTAAATGATATATCTTTAAATATTTACTGATATATCTTTAAATATTTTAATGATTATAACGAAATAAATGATGTAGATAATAATGAGAAGTGATAAAAAAATACATCAATTGAATATAATTTTATAATGTAAAACAATGAAAGAAACGTAACGAATCCTAACCTTAACAATATTATTTAGTCATTATTTTATTCATCTTTATGGGTTTAAAATTTTTGAATATATATTTTAATTATTTTAAACAAAGATATTTTTTTATTGAAATAAAATCTTATGGCCATACAGCAAGATACATTTTTCATTAAGCATTTTCCAATAACAATAAGTTTTATTTTTATGCAGATTACTATTATAAATAATAATTACTATTACAATACTTTTGAATATTTTGAAAAATATATGAAAATGTAATTATTTAAAAACTCTTTTTTCAAAATTACTTGACATACAAGAAGTTAATTATACAAGAAAATATAAAAATATAATAGAAATAAAATGATTATTTACTAATACATAATAATAAATAGATTATTTATGTTTTATCTTAAAAAAGTGATATATATCCACAAATGATTCGTAAATATTTAAATAAGCGGAAACATATTTACACATGTTTAGGAAGTTGCGTTACTATCGATTGACCTTGCTCCCAAATTTCTGACCATCCACAGTAAGAGCTGATTATTTTTAACCAAAGTATTCTGAGTTTTGCCCCCACCTATTTGTTCTCTCTCTCTCTCTCTCTTCTCGTCACTACTCATTCAATTAAATCTATCTCTATATTAAATTTCTCAGATATTGGCTAACTTACATATTTTCAAAGTGACATTGACAATGGAATATTTTTTTCAATAATCATTGACAAATTATTATATTTTACAAGTATTCAATTTTATGAAGCAAGATATTAATTTATATCATTTATATTTTATAATATTACATTATTTCAAATTCTTTTTTTTAAAAATATGATATGATATACTAAATATATATAAAATGATATATTAAATATGATATACTAAATGGTAATTGTCAAATATATAATATATATAAATATTAATTGCAATAAAAAAAAATGTTACGTTTCTTTAAATGTTTTACATTTTTAATTTTTAAATATATTTTTAACACCGTGTAACAAACATTAAGAGTACTAGTACTAAGTTTAAATATGAATATATAAAAATAAACTATTTTTAAGAAAAATCGTGTAATTTACATAAATATAATAATTATATATATATATTTTGTATATATATGTGTTTATACTGCATTTTGAGACAGCATATGAAATATATTTCACGAATAAGATTCGTTTTTAATTTTGAAAGAAAAAAGAATATGAAAAAAAATTTCTATCAATTCTGGAATAATTAATAAAAATAACATTTTGGGAAACAATGTTTTTGAGAGGTGATGGAATGAAATGAAATGATGAAAAATATGCAGTACAGCATATGATTTTTATTGTCATTATAATTACAATGAGTGATAAAAAACGATGACAATTCATGACAACAATGGAAGTTAGACATTTTAATTTATATAACAACAATATTTAAATTTTTTACAAAATCTTTTACATATTCATATATATTATTCTTTAAATTAGATATTAACGGATAAAATTTGTCTAAGATTTAATTTAAAAAAGATTATAGATAAGAACATATATTGTGAAAATTTAGATCCAAATCGTCATGAATGTCAACTGGCTTCATCTATAATGATGAAACCTTAAGTAGAAAATCCTATATTCATGTTCAGACAAGTTTCTTCTAAAACTTTCCTATAGGTAATAATTTATATATAATGTGAACAATAAATTAAAAACTACGTAAATTACATAAATAAATTATAGTTACATAAATATAAAAAATATTATTTTTGAACGCGATTGATAATAAAAAATATTTTCAAGTGAAAATACTTTTATGTAATGTAACAATAAAAATGTGCCGGATAAAAGGGCTTGAATGAAACGGGATAAACATATCGTACATATAAATATTGTGTTTGTGAAAACGATGTTCGAGAGATGGATACAAGTAATAATGAAAAAAAATGAGAATAAAAAAAAACAAGTCGACTGCGAGAAACAACTATCATTGATATTCTCTTATTTATACATCGATTCTTTTATTTAACTGTTCCAAGAATACGAGTTTGTTTACATTACACACAATTATATAAAAAATGAAATACTAAGAAACTGTACAACAAAAAAATTTTGTTGATTTTTTGTGAGAAGTTGATGAAATTTTTTTTCCGAGTAAACATGCCAGAAATTTATTGCAACACAAGCGCCACGGCGGTCAAAACAGGTTTCCCATATCTCATGTATGTCTGTGTTTGCGTGTAATTCATGGTATTATGTCGCATGGACGTAATTATTATGGAATCTGTACTAACCATGAACTCTCAACAATACCCATTGTACTATTAATGCAAAAATATTTTTACCATTCAAATTCAGATTGATGGCATGTTTTTGATCTTTTCTATTTTTTTATTTTAAATTTCAATAAAATTTAAGTAAGATTGTCATAAGGTTTAAATTGCATGCTTAAAGATTTTTTTCTTTTTTTATTATAATAAAATTTTTTTCTGAAAAATTTCTATTTATATTTCTATATAGATATATAGATATATATTTATAATTATGAAATATATGCCTCATAGATAGAATTTCAAAAAATATATAACAATATAATTTCCTTATATTCTGAAATTATTAGATTCATGAAATATAAAATTTCAAACCAAATTATAAATATTCTTTTTGATAGAATAGTCTTGAAATGGAAAACTATATACAAGTTTACCTGATCTTGTATAAAATAATGTAGTCATTTTTATTCATTTAACCTCACTTGTAATTCTGTCTATAAGAGTCTATAAGATCTTTTATGTATGTGATTTTCCAACACTATTAAAGAAAGTACCTAAATTATGCATATATTATATATGTATATTTCGTGGTTTCTTTAACAAATGTTCTATATTCTAGTTTTAAGTTATAAATTTCACAATCTCATTCTACATTCCAATTTTAACCAGTTGCTACACGCATAGAGACATACAAACACGCTCGCATTCGATGCGTGCACTCTGGCACACGATGTGCGTCGTTAAATCAGGGAATTTCAATTCTGGATTATTACTCGATTGATTTCTATTATTAGAAATATATAACATATCTTCTTTTCTATTTCAATGTATTCTAATTTCTTTTACATTTGAAATACAATTTATAATAATCCAAGTTTTCAATACATTTTTATTTTAGCTTAAAAAAAAATGTTTGATTATACAAATAAGTGTATTACAATATATCACCTTGTAGACTGATATATGAATATTTTTTCAATATTAAAATATACTATTTGCTCTAAACAAATCTTATCGTTCAAAAAGATCAACATTATCAGTTAACAAGATGTTATATCAAATTAAAATATTGACACTTTAATGATAGGCGAGAGATAAAAGATTAACAATATCAGTAAAAGTACTATAATATTTTTTAATGATTCATTATGATGTACAAATAACATTTTTCCAAATGTGATTGTAAAAGGTACTTGATCATTAATTTTTTTTTTATTATCTAAAGTTTTTGTAAATTCATTCAACAGATAAATTGTATTGTAAAATCGAACTTCAATGTGTAATGTAAAACGTTATGCGATACCGGAACAGAACACGATATACTTTGCAAGTAACCTAATCCCATCGTCTTTCTTCACATATCCAATTGTTTCCTGATCTCGTCTTCGCGAGAATGTGACGTAACGTAATATTGTATCTCAGCAATGTTTTCAATGACACTGCATCGGCGACAAGTGGACTTTTAGCTGGGATGATACAGAAACGAGGATAGAGATGCGAATTTACAAATACACGCAATCTTCACCCTCGTTGTTCATCGCGATACACAATGAAGTTGTCCTACAAAACATTCCCCCCTCCTTTCATTTATTGTAAGAATCATCGGTCACGTTACATATCCGAATTTCAAAGTTTGATATATTTCGTACAATTTCTATTTTTTTCATACGATAAACATTAAACAATTCGAGAAATTATGATTTAAAAATACAAAAGAATCTTTTTAAGAAATTACATTTTAATAATGATATTTAATCCTTCGAGCCATAAACAATTCAATATTAAGATCAGAAATTCAGCAAGAAAAAGAATACGATATTATAATTTCTCTTCGAGAAGTATTAATATAAAATATAGAAGGATTAAATATAAAATTATCATTTGCAATTCCCTTTTTAAAAAAAGCAATCCGGTGAAAAGGAATGTTGATTATTTTACGTATATATGTATATATGTACATGTAACCGAAATTATTCTTTTCTTTTTTTTAAATTATATATCGCACCGCCGAAAAGCAGCAGCTCGGTGACCGTTACTCTGGTGGCGGTGACAGGAGAGATGTCGTACCAGATA